GAAGCCGAGGCGGCCCAGTTTCACAAGGCGCGAGATCCGTTTTTTCGATCCATGGGAATCTTCGACGAAGCTGACACGACCTGAAACAAACAAGCTGGAGGCTTCAGTCGAAAGCGGAAGGATGTTGTGAAGGGGAAGCAACTGCTTCACCCCATTCGGCTCCGGCCCCCGGACAGACCGGGGCTTTCCCAAGCTGCCTGAATCCGAGGCGAAGTGCAGCAGGGGAGTGGCCTGGATGCGCCTGTCTTTGGCAGAGATCGACCTGCAGTCGGAGTCCCAGTCGATCCTGGGGGAATTGGCAGGAGTCCATCGGACGGTCAATGGGATTGCTAGAGGCGTGTTGATTGACTATAGAGTCTCATGTGAACGGTTGGGAAGGTGAGAAAGAATTGAAAGAATCCCCAGGGATCAGTGGTGTTTGTGTGTGTGTGTGTCAAAGCCTGTTTCCAAGGCTGCATACAATGTCTAGCATGTAAAACCAACCAACTAAGTGTGTCTGCGCGCGTCCACTATAGTTGTATTCTAAGTTGTAATGTCGACGTCAGATTTATCACCTCCCCGCTCCCCCCCTTGAAGGTCAACGAGGCTTGACATTGGAGGTATTGGAGACATTTGGAGACCAGATCACCGTAAATAAGGATGGATGATGGTTGATGTGATTCTGTGTGAAGCATGAGAGTTTGAACCAGAGCCATGAGAGCTTAGCATATTGACCCAAGTTTGATGAGAGATCAGAGCCATGCCAATTGGATCCAATTGGGAGCTTGCATCTGAGAGCCAGGAGGAGGAATGGTCAATGGAGGCTCTAAATGTGGTGAGGGTGGATGCCTACTATACTGTACTGGATGAATTTGGATGATCTATTAATGAATTATCAGATGATCTATTGACAAGAGAAATAGGCCCACCAGTCACAGTTAGGGGTGCCGAATTTAGGAAGAAAGGTTAGGGGTGCCCGGCTACTCCATCTCACTGGATGGGACCAAACACCACCCAGTACACCACCCCAACCTGTGACCCCTTGGGGTAACCTCACACCTTTGCAGGGTTGGTCATGGTGATGATGAGATATGATGAGGCGTCGATTCGTAGTGATTCGGCCCGCGCGGGTGCCCTCAAAAGGCTGCCCACCATGTATTGGTCCCCACACACGAGTTTCGGGTTGAGGAATGTTGTTTGCCCCGTTTTTTGCACTAAATACTTCGTGTTTCCTGCTTGTGGTGGTTAGTTGGTTCAAGGGATGTATAAAGAATTCCGAGCCTGAGCCTCTTTCAACGCCCATGTATTCTGACGCAGATCCAAGGACCTTGAAGGTCTGTAATCCCTTGCGCAAGGGTGCACACCCTGGACATCACCTGATCCCCTGGCCCATCAAGCACTGCGGAGCTGCGGAGTCGGCCCAGCACTGCTCCAGGCGCGGGGGTCTTTGCCGCTGTGGCAGTGCGGCGGACTTGGCCCTGGAGGCTTTGGAAGAGCTGCCGGGGACGCCTGAAAACACGGCCCGGTTTTTCAGAGCTGGCAAGGCCGCGAGACTGAGGTTCCGGGTTCCGTACTCTTCCGCTATTGTTCCTCTCCATACTGTTGGTTAGTTCATGTCAGTTCTTGGTTCTTTGCCAGCCACATTCAGCTCGATAATTATATAGATGTTGATTTGCTGGAATAGATCTATACAATGTGGATTAATTTTGAGAACCGATGAGAAACACATTTTTTTGACACCATTTTCCTCTTCCCAGGTCCTTGTAACTTGAAGGTGCATCTGGCCATTCCACCATGACACCCTGCCACAGGTTCTGAGCTTGTGAAATGAGGTTCTTTGCCCAAACAACATCATTATGTACTCTAGTTTGGGCGTGCTGACACTCTTATGGGCCATGTAAGCTTTATAATGTTTTCAAATATGTTCAATATGCTTCATATTTTTGTACTCATGTGTGTGTGACATCGCAGACCCCGAGCCCTCTTGCCATGGCCAGAGGGTGTTTCAGAAACCTGACCTAGGCCTGAAGCTCAGCAGGAGGCCAAGCTCTTGCATGCAGCAGCCTTGTTGGGCTCGGGACGGCCAGCTGAGGCGTGAGGGATGCAGTGCAGGGGAGTCGGAGGTCGTAGAGGTCGTCGACTGATGTTGGGGCCGAAAAACATGGAAGATCAGCTGATATCAGTTAGGAATCGACCTGGATGTCCTGTGAACATGGACATGTAATGACATGCATGACATGCACCTTTTTGGGAGGTCATCAATGAATATTCAAAATCCAAGTGCATTCTCAGAAAACGGTAGGTTGGCCATCCAATGTTATTGCGCGGTCAGCAACAACACCAGCAAGACCTCGCAAAGACTATAGCGCTTGAGAATTCCTAAAATGCCCTCGAAACCTGCCAGAAAGTCGACCCGGACAAGTCCAAACAGGATCTCCAAACGTGATTTGGTTTGACCGAAAAATCCACATTCTTAGCGATGATGTTTCTTTCAGGCGGCTCAGACCTTTGCTTTGGGATCGGATCGAAACACGTTTGCGGCCAGGCGGAGGCTGCAGTGCCTAAGCGGTGATGTGGGGAGTGGAGGCTTCAGGGTCAGGTGGATCTCAGGTGTGTGATACTTATCAGATATGTGCAGCATGCACTCAAAGTATTTCAAAGCTTTTCAAAGTCCGTCGTTCCGGAACAATCCAGAACCATGGTGTCTATAGTAGTAGCATGATGTAATATGTGCATGATGTTTTGGGGTTGGTCCCACCTGGTCACACCCCTTGAGTCACTCCAACTAGTACCCTCTATGGGATTTGTCTCGTCCAGCTGCGCGGATCAGTGATGACCAACTTTCTAAAAGAGAATACACGACTTGTTTCGAGGTCTCGTTGTGAGGCTAGTTTTTGGTAAGTGTGACCAGTGGCAACCCGGTTATATAAGGCTCTTAGATCTGCTAGACTTGCCTGAGCTTGATTCTGCTCCTACTGTTGGCCGGACTCTAAGGAGCTCCTGCAACGGCCTGGGAGCTTGGGTGCTTGGGGAGCAGTGTGGGTTGAAGTACAAAGCTGTTGAATTTTGGAGCCAGAATAGCCCACGTATGCAAAAGCGAGTTGGAACAGGGGTCCATGAAAATTTCCCGTGAGGGTTCTGGAGAACCAGCAGTGGTGACTCTCATACAATTAGTTCATCCTTGTCTGCCACATGTTGCAACACCTCAGTGTGATGGAGACAGAAGTGGCATGGGGTGGTATATCATGTATATCACCCTCAAATATCAGTGTTCAACTCCCAATCCTTCTTTTGGATTTTTTTTTGCATTTGAGACAGTGACTAAGAGTTCTAAGGCCAAAACCCCGCCCTACCCGCACTACATTGACATGCCTTTCTTGGTACGAGACTCACACCCTCCATTATAGTTTAATTAACAAGAAGCTACTAGTAGCTCCTGACATCGCTACTAGGAACAAGGGCATCGCTACGAACGGAGCAAGGACACTACTAGTAGCTCCTGGCATTACTAGTATAGCTTAGTATAGCAAATTAGCTGGCCACAAACAAGGGCTCCACATGGCTCCAGTCTCGCCATTCTCACCGATTCGGTAGACCGTCGACCGTCGAGGTCTCGCAGTTCGGGCGAGCGACGCTGGGAAGCCGCTGCCCTACACATCTCGGCCCTGAGCAAGGCGATGGACGACCGTGGCGAGAAATGGACGTGGCGGGTTGGCGGTGGATGGTGGTCTTAGATGGGAAGTGCCAGGGGATTGCATTTAGCGCCAGGCTCACGAAATTCCAGTTTGGGATGGTATTTCACTTGGATATCACTCTACCGGGCGGTTCTGGGTTACCATCTACCATCGGGCACGAGGAATTGGCGTTGTGACCATGGCTGAAATATGCCCAAACATGCCAAAACCAATCAAAATTCATCCTGGTGGAGGCCTTGCAGGGCACACGCACAGCCTACGAGGCGAGGCTGCAACATGGGGTAGAGGAGGGGCTTGTGACGGGCGCGGTTCGGTATGGAGTGGTTCCAGCACACGATGTGCGAGCTTCTCCGGGACTTCTCCGAAGCGACAGGTTGGTCGGGTTACTGTTGCCAAGTCCCCGCAGAAGAGGACTTATTTGGACAGAACGAGAATAATGACAACAACCAGAACGTTTTAGCCGGGAGTTTGGTCTAACTTTCACGGAGCCACCTGTCAGAAGGACAATAAGTGACCAATAGCCAGTTGAAGTGGTGGGGGTGCTTGGGTCAACAATGCCCAATGACACTGATGCGGGATCCCCTGCCATCCTGCATTCACATCAGCATGTTCATTTTGGGACAGCCACAAATTGGCTTGTGGTTTCAAGCATTTGGTACTTGGAATGAAAGCTGTGAACAGAGCCGGTTGGTTCAACTATATGGATCAACTGCATCACTTGGAAGTCCCAGCAACCGGCAACTCCGCCCCCCTCGCCCGGGTCCGCACCGCGGGCGCTTGGCTCGAGCGAAGCACTGCACCGCGCTTGGAAACCTCACCGAGCCTGGACCCACCCGCCGTTCCACCGAGCCCCAGCGCCCGAGACGGACGCGTCTTCATATTGGTTAGGTCGGTGAACATCAGGGTCCATGGAGTCGCACGCGAGTGGCTTCGAAAGTCCGGTTCATACATGTTCATACTAGCTCAGCTTAGCGCCTGGTTTGGAGGTGAAAGAACAAACTGGCCACCCAGCGGCTGGATCCTTTGCGTGAATGCTGTTCCGTTTTCACTTGCCAGTGGTGCAAGATTGAGGCCCTGGCAACACTGGGAATCCCAATTTCTAAACTTCAATTTGTTGGATGTGGCGCTATGCCTCTGATACCTACAGCAAGCGGGACGACCGGTCCACCAACTGCAACCCCCGAAACCTGTGGTGGAAGATTGGATCTAGTTCTAGTAGCGACACCATTGAACTTGACAAACTCCAATTTTCAGGCCAGAACAACTCTGCATGTGAAACCAGTGAATTTGCCACACTTTTGCTTCTTGGAATATCGTGGAAGCGCCATGGCTTACTCTTGGCTGCTACTCTTGCTTACTCATTCCGGCCTAGCTCTGGAGAGCTGTGACGACGGTCTGGAAGATGCTTTGCTCTCCATGTTGCAGACGACGGTGACCCTGGACCGAACCAAGAGGGATCTGACACTCAAAGATCAGGTCTACAATGCGCCTGGGAAGAGAGCTTCGAATCGGGGCACGGCGTGCCGAAGCCGGCGAAGCCGACGTTCGGCGCCAGCAAAACAACATCAACCAGGTTCTTAGTTGATCTTATAGGTCTTATATAGTTATATGTTCACATCAATCAGTGAGGTTAATTACTATAGTACGTCGACGTTGTTTATTTTCAGACCACAGGTAGCTTCTCAAACAGGAAATTGACCCTGCAAGCATCGGTGAGGGCCAGTCAGTCCTTCCTTGACCGCTTCTTCCTGTGTCTTTTGCGCGAGATCGATGGTCTGAGGTGCATATCCCGAAGTCTGCTGGAAGCTCATTCGCCTTGGATGCGCAAGAGATTTTGAGACCGCTGCACCTCATTAGCCAAGAAGGATGTCTATCTTTGCATCAGAGCCCCTCGTCGAAAGACGGTCACAGAGAGTGACTGGCAGCACAGGCTACAGAGGCTGCACTGCTAAACACTCACCTTGAATGCAGTCTTGGTATGTTTGTGGAGTGTAGAGGTTGGTTTCATAAAGCACGGGTGTTCTTGGCAAAGCCACCGCCGTGCAGTCTTTGTTTCAACCTTGATCACCCTCACCCTCACCAGATCTGACATGTGTCATGGATGATTTGAGGGTCCCAGCCCAAAGGCTCAACCATGCAAGCGTCTTGATGGTTTATGTGGCCACACATCCATGGTGCCACATAGTACCACTTTCGCGCAGCACCTCTACCAGTGTGCCGCTGGTGGATTCGAACATCAATCTAAGCATCTCAATCCGTCGCTCACCACAACGTTTGGATCACCACGGTGATGCTTCGAGGCTTCCAGGTGAGGATGTGGAGGAGTCCTTCCGATACCATCGCCAAAGCGAGACCTGCGCCACTGAACCCCACTCTGGAGCTCAGTAAAGGACGGATGAACAAAGACTTTTCCGCGTCTATACAGAGCTTAAGACAAGTGAACTACGCACATGATTAAGCACTATTAAGTAGCACAAGACTCTTCAACGAAGCACCCAAGCTCTTTGCAGCACCGTTAGCCAATGGTCCTTCCTCAATATCCCTGGACCTTCCAGGTGTTTCCTTTCAGATTCACAAGTGGCTTAGGGTATTGGGTGAAACCCCGAAGGTGCTGGCATGTGCCGGTATATAAATCAGGTGTTGACTTGTTTTGCCTCCAAGACCGGGTGGTGGGTAGGTGATGGTGCTGCGTGCGAGGTAACCCGCAGCTGAAAGGCGCCATCACGATGCTAAGGGACCCCAGAGCACACGTGTTTTGGACGGCAGGGAGCAGCGGGGCTGTTGGGCCTACACGAGCTCGCGTTTTCACATGGTGCTGCTGCTGCTGCTGCTGGCGTCGTTGTTGTTGTTGTTGTTGCTGCTGGGGCTACCAGCAGAGGTTGCGGGGGTCTTTAGCAAAGGGTCCCTGTGCATGTTCCTTTAGAAGATTGAAATGAGCTAGAGCTCGAGGCTCACTGGCAACTCAGTTTTCTGAGATAACAAGTCTATTAACGTTGACCAGGTGAAAAAAACGAGAACATCCAAGGTTCCAACCCCTTGCCCTGTGCCCATGATGATTCAAAACGGGTCTGACACATGCCCGGTCTAGATGAAGTCAGTCAGAGTGAGGAAGTGGTCCCAAAAGGCCTTCGTCCAAAACACGACAAAAGAGGCCACCGGATGTTTGTCCTCCATCCGCCGCTCCGCGCAGAGCCGATGCCACCCACCGAAGAGGGTTCCGCGGAACCGCGCGCGGAACCCTCCACGCGCGGCGCCTGAGGTCTTGTCCCAGTACAAGATGTGCCGCAGCCAGTGGGTCTCCGAGTTCCGCACGGCCGTGCGGCAGCCGCTCAGCGGGGAGAGCGGTGGAGTGGAAGGAGTGGAACGGTGGAGAACCGTGGCACCGGTGGGGCGTAACGAGGAGTGGAGCTGTGGCACCGGAGGGGTTTCTGAAACAGACCTCTGGATTGATGCATGGAGGGTGGAGGTAGTGGTTGGAGATATGTGGCACCAGTGGAGATGGTGATTCAATGTGATTCATGTCCACCAGAGAGGGAAAGCAACTTTTGTGTTTGTTTTAGAGTTTTGTTTCCATCATGCATGTTCTTTCTCCTTTTGGATTGGGTTCAATGCAGCCCTGTATCATCCTGTATCGATAGGGATCAGGAGAATTCATTGGATGTTCCGGCGGGGCCAGACCCAATTCTACCCGCGAATATGCTTGACAGCGTTTGATTGCGACATATTGTGACAAATGTGGACGATGTGGACTGGTTTGTTGGTATACCGCGAACGCGGTTATGGCCAAAGATCCTTGTCGAGAACGGTCAATGTGAAACCTGTAGTTACAGATGTTGGAGTGAAGAAGCAACGAGCGGCGAAGACAACAAGGGGACAGTGGACATCCAAGACAGACCGGATCTGCTTCACGAGGTCCTTTGACCGGAAAGCTGCTAGAGTCTAGAGACCAGCGGCCTCGAGAGAGAGACCGCCCTTTTGTTTTGTGAGGCACAAAGACTCCCCCAAACTCACAGAAATAAAGAGGGGTGGTGCTTTCCCTCTACCTTCAAGAATTCCTTTTTTGTGTGATTTCCATTTGATGACCGATATTCCCAATGCCACTTGGGATGAGGGAGGATTGGTTCAATGGGAGACCTGAAGTAAGGTAGTATCATGTATAGTATCAGGGACGATAGATAGGAATGCGACTGCAGTTCTACCCTGCTTCTTCGATCCACCATTGGGATGGTTCTCATCTCATCACCCTATATAGTGAAACTAAGTGAAGGGGAGTCGCGCCCGTCTCATCTCACCACCTGCCATCTATGGTCACCACGGAAAATTCGCACCAAACCTTCGCGCCCAAACCGCGCAACACACCTATTGGCACCTGTCCGACCTCGGGACGCCAGGAAAGGCGACTGGGTGTTACCGCACCGCTTCGAGAACTGGGTGGACGCCTGGGAACGGCTCCGGGAAGAGTCCTGGCACGGCGCCCCTTGGGACGGCAGCATGAGTCAGGGACTGAAGCCCGCGCGGTGACCGCGCTCGCGGCCTTTGCGAAAGGTGACGCGTGCCGCGGTGGGGACGTGGGGGGCAATGGAGATGAAGGTTCATGGCGGTTGAACCATAAATATTTGTTGTGTCTTGAGCAAGTTGAAATTTGGGGTGTATGATGGTATACGCAGGAACGTGGAGAACGCATTTCCGGTGCATTGGTCGAGTCGAATGAGGATCTTAAGAATTGTGGGTGATTGCCCCCTAGGGCTCTAGAAGGTGGTTAGGTTTGACCCCCCCTGGCACCCACCCTAACACCTCAACCGCCTTCTCAGGCTCAGGAGGTAGTTGGATGTGTGTATGTAATTAGGGAGACCCCCAAGCAATCGGTACACTGGTCTATTTCCCGAACCTTCCAGCAGGTCTTGAGACCTGGGACCCTCTCCCTATTTGAGTACACACCCATATCCTTGGAGCCCTCAAGGTTTCCAGAACAACCTGTCCCAGGATGTCTATATCTCAGGTCCGAATCCTTTTTTTGTTGAAGCAAACCAGACCACTGACCCCCACTGACCCCGTTTGGGACATGTCGGGACCCGCAAAAAAGACACGGTCGACCGGCACCCCGGTCGTGGTTTGGGGTGTTTTACCTGGTTTTTGCTGGTTCGACATCCAGCACCTGTCTGAATACCGTAACTAATACCATATTTGGGCATCCATCCACCTGTTTATACATATATATGGTACCCCCCCAAAAAAAAACAATGTTCACCTCACTTTTGCTGTTATTTACAATATTTCGTGTCTATTTTTGGCGGCCTTTTGGACCTTCGTTTTTGGGGTACCATATAGCAGGTAGGTTACATAACTTGTTTGTCCAGAGATTCTAAATTCCGGCATGTTAAATAACTTTGGAAGGAACGCATTCAGAATGCATTCAATGCATTCAGAATGCATTCTTGTTCAAAACCAAGATCCAAGATTCCCACAAGACTCCTGGCTAACATCTTGGATTGATACAGTCATAATATAAGGATGTTCTGGCAAATCCCAAATCCAAGATTTTCCACAAGACTTCTGCGCAAATCTTGGATCTTGGTTTTGGGAAGGAATGCATTCTCTGGCATTCTCTGGTAGTGACAAAATTGCACTAAGTGCATTTTGATCCTGGAATATTACTGATTACCGACATTTGTTTCTCATTCAATTCTAATTAACAACTAATTCAACTCTAATTTACTCATGAATTTTAGTGCACATACAATTTAACTAAATTCTAAGTCAATTATTATTCTATTTTAAAAGCACTTCTATTTCTATTTAAATTTCTAAGTTGAGTCTAATTGAACTGTAAGTTGATTCTAATTTGAGTATGTAACATAGTTCTACGTTAAGCCTAAGTTGAGCCTAATTGAATTCTAATTTAAGTTTATTTAGCTTAATTTCATTGTATAGACAAATTCTAATGCAGTTTTTTATTCTATTTTATTCATTTCCGTTTTAATTCTAATTATGTTTGGCTATTTTAGATCCAATTGAATTCAAACTGGAATTTAACTATTTAGGGTTTGCAATTATTTGCCTTCTGATTATGATGTACTTGCTCAACTGCATTCAATAAGAGCAGTACAATTCACACCCTAAAAACAAGACATATGGTTCTGCATGGGGGTTGCAATGAATTAGATTACTCCATCCAAGAACTGTTTAGTAAACACATAACCTTATGGATTTGGACAATTTTTGTAGTACATAGTTAAATGAACAAATATGCTTACCAACTGCACACCAGCACTCAGAAACATAGTTTTTTTTTGGGGGGGGGGCTAGCATATATATGTATAAGTATTAATACATATGTTGATTTTGGGCATCAAACATAAGTATGAAAGTAATTATGAACACCTTTTTTGGCATCCAATTTAATTTCGTGTCCTTTTTTTTTCCGTGGAGCCAAGGATTTTACCCCGAGCAACGAGCTGAGTGGTGCCACCATGGAGCTGAAGATTCGCGAATCGCGCGCCACCTGCCGGGTGGTGCATGGCAACGGGTGGAGCATGGCCCCGGGTCTTTGGAAGTGGCGATATGGTGGGATACTAGGTGGATCAAGATCTTGTTTTTTCCCATAGATCTAAGACAATAATAACATGCAATGTTTAAGCGATTTGGAGCAGGGACTCACTGAACTCGATCTATTTGAGTCACAGTGTTGAAGGGATGTGAAGTGGGTGTGGGGGGGTATTATAATGTATTGACACGACATCATTTAATATTTAATTAACTATGATTGTTGCTCAATGGCACAAAGAGACCAGATATTATTGGCATATTGAGATGCTTCTTTGTTTGACTGCAATGCTTTCACGTTCGCCGGCTGTGCACCAGACTTGGTTCGCATCATGGAGGGACGGGCTAGAACGGCGGCTCCACGGGGCTCCCAGCTTAGCTGTGGCAAGCTACCAATTGGTACCCACAGACAGCGGGTGAACTGCCCTTGTTTGCCACCCGACTAGTGGATGGCGGTGCCATGCTAGCGGCTCGTGCTGTAATCCGTTCGGAACTTTCTTTCTTGTTTCCTCCTGTCACACCTCCTTGTCTGTGGACGTCGACCTTCAATCGTCGGCAAGAAGATCGTGCTGCAGCTTCTTCGACCGTTTTCGGGTCCCGAAGTCTAGTCCTTCGATGGGTATGTCGCGAAGGGTGAGGGTCCCAATTGACTTAGCATGGAAACAATGAGTTCTAGAAGGGACGCTTACTAAATTCACTTCCCACCCATTTCACTCACTTCCCCACTGAGCCAAGCCTTCTTGTGATGAGCTCCCCCTTCCTTCAGGTCAAGGCTTGGGGGGAGCCACCCTACAGCGTGGATCGAGGCGCTCCGGACTGATTCGATTGTTCCCAGACCGCGGCAAAAGAGCTTTGGGAAAATCAAACACAAACGAAATCCATTGGTTGGGAGGGTGCCCCTTATGGGTGGCGTATATTTTAATAGGGAGCCAGACACTCCATCAGACTGGCATATATATATATATGCAGATGCCAGTGCAGATCCCTACATTGACCGCAATTCAGCCACCCCTGGCCTGATCGGTTGCCTTGCATGCAGTGGCCGGGCATGGAGGGAATAGTTACCTACAATTGGGATCATAAATCGATCGGCTCGCTGTTGCCATCCAGGAGATATGACACACAATATGCTACTCCAGACACAAGCTGTTTGGGACTGGCATAGAGAAAAGACCCATTGACCCCATTACCCAGTTCGCCCCCCAAGTGGCGAGTCTTCGCCAGTCCGCCAGTTTCGCAAGCCCGGAGTCCTTGAGTTTTCGGGAGTCTATTTCCTGTATACATTTCAGTGTCATGAATGGGGTCAACGGCTGCCTCTTCCTGTGGTCATGGAGGGCGTGTTTGTGCATGAGGTCCGCTCCACTTCTTGGTTCACGGATGTTCATGGTACCTCACCTGACTCTTTCTTAATGAAGCTGTGACCTCAACCCAAGAATTTTCGTCGCAGTTCGGAAGGGTTGGATGTTCGCCAGCGTTTCTTGGGAGAGAAACTGCAAAAATCGATGAGTATAGCAGTTGCATGCAACAAAGTCTCTCATCACACTATGTTTCGAAGGCTCTTTTGCCAAGTGCCCACTCCCTAGAAATCGGTTCTTCTCCCACATGGGACCACTGCTGGATCCCACGAGGTGGCAGAGCACCCGTCGGTCTTACGAACGTCCATCTTCACGTCCCAAAGCATTTTTATGACAGAGACAATCATGAGACAATCTGATGGTGTCATGAGACAATCTGACAGTCTTCTTCTGGTGTCATAGACAAGACATGCCAATCATCTTAGACAGGAGTCCCAATCAGGAACGTCCCATCTTTACGTCCCAAATCATGGAGTCCCAATCATAGATAGTTCACCCATGAACGCCTTGGAACTATTTATTTTGGAACTCTTGCACTCCGAGTGTTCCACTCGCGTGAAAAGTTGAGCATCACCTGCGTTTGGTTGACCAAAAAAGGGTCATCCGAACTCGGGGCCGGAGGCCATCGCTAGTATTCGAATCGCGAGAGTCGGAGTCGGGGAAAGCCATTCATGTTGGATCTTAATTAGCAAAACCCACCCCCCTAGCAAAAATCAGGGGGTCTGAAGAGTATCTTCGTGACGTCCGTCCCATTATACTCATTAGGATGCTACATGATGCAACTTTCAGACCGCATTATAGTCCCTACCATTCACCGGTCTCCAAAACGGCCCGGCACGGAGCGAGTCCCGTCAGGCACGCGGCTGCGCATGGAGGATTGGCCTCAACTGGATGGTGGTGGAACGGTTTGGCACTTCACCAAGGCTCGGGTCATGGCGTCAAGGGATGTTGTTTTCGTGACCACAGAGGTGTTGACTGGGAGGTGTTGACTCACAGATGGCCAGTGGTGTGGGAGTGTTTCTTTGATAATATTTTAGCCGTTTCCATTGGCCAAAATGTGTGAAATGGACCAATTTCCAGAGGAATAAGTAGTGAGTAGGTGTTCAGGGGAAGTGAGTGAACTCATATATACAAAACAGCTCTTATTGAGATAGCAGGTAGGTACCATAACAACAGTGTCTAAATTACTACAGTAACTGTACACTACAACCGTACCGCCTCAATTATGACAAAACTCGTAGAGGGTTGCATAGAGAAGGAAGCAATGGGTACGCAGTGGAATGTGGGATGCTACCTATTGTATTTGTCATAGTAATATAGAATTGATTAGGTTTGAGTACTTTCTTGGGCTTGAGACTGAGTATAGTATCAGCGAAAGCGCCAAGGTAAAGGTACCATGCACCAGCGTCTCCCATGGATGAACGCCTCCATTGTTGGGCCCTGGTTTATATTGGGAAAGGTACTTCTATTTGGTACTGCAGAAGTCAATAGCTGCTACATCATGGTCGTTTCACAAACCAGTATATAATGCTACCCATATTACTGTGATTTGCAACTCTTGAAGCTTTTGCTACGCTTCTGCTTGCACATCCCGTTTCGAGGTTCCATTCCAGCGCCTTGTCTTGTCTCGTGTGGGTGTGTGGGGTGGCTTCACGTCGTGGATTGAACTGTGCTACAGCACAGAGAGGAGGCAGAGGAGGCAGAGAGATGGACTCCGAATACTCCTAGGTATCTCCAAGATAGGCCAGGTCATTACTGAATTTCAACAGACTAATGGTTAGTCAACTGACGGGGTCCCATTTCGCTTCATCACCGTCTTCAGTTTGACCAATGCTGAAAGTTTGGAGCGACTGGATGGAAGGACCCTTCTGCCAGTCCTTCTGCCAATCAAAACGTCTCCGTTGAATTGACATGTGTACGGAATCATGTGTACGTCCTTACATGTCTCCGTCCTTACACATCATCATCACTTGTAAGGACGTCTCAACACGTTTGAGCTCTGGAAGACTCCACGTCTGTAGGTTTTTGAGGGTTCCTAAGTCTGTCGGTTTGGGAGCCACACCCTATTCAACCGTTTGAGTTCTCGCACCCAAAAACATACCGACCCCCACTGTTCCGTCGTTTCAAGGTGTTATTCGCCGATGAATTTGCAGAGCCACCGGCTCACCTGTAGCAACCCGATGAAATATGATGCTCAGATCGACAAGGACTGTGGTTCCAACACAATGGATCGATCATCGCATACTATTCAGACATTGAGTTCTTGAACATGAAATGAATATTCCTGTGATGTTATGCTGTGGTTGGAAAATGTTCGAACATGTTGCAACATGAAGACTCCGGAACATCTAAAAGGAGCACACCAGAATCTCTTCCAGAATTCGAGCTGTGAAGGCTTCTTGATGTGTTGAACGGCATTACAGACACATCAGCTGGATGGATCGATCCTATATATAGGTATAACATGTTCCTATTTGTCCGGGTTTGTCCCAGAAAACCTGTAGAGCCGGGAGCAGGTCAATAGGAGCATGATGGAGTTTGTGTAGGAGAAAGGTCTGGAACCTAAGCATCATCCACTGTTGCAGGTAATGGGATATACCATATACCCGATTCCCATCCTTTAGGAAGTATATGAAAGCATAGTGTTTTTTTGCTTTATCTATGCATTTTGTATGATGTTGAAGGTGACCAGCACCACATTGACATGACAATGGCGACGCGATGTGCATTCAGCGAAAGCACGCGATCTGAATGTACACGGCACCTCAATTCCTTCCGGTGCTGACATCGATGTTGCTTTGATTTGAGTCCCCCTTGTCGTTGCTTTGAGTCGCCTCATCCTGGCTTTGAAGACATGAAGGTGCTTCACAATTCGGTATTTGGGTCCAGACCCCATGAGACCCCTGTCCTTAGTCCTTTGATGACCATTCCTTTTTCAAGAGCACTCCAAAAACCACCGTGTATGGGCCACGAGTGCCACCTTTCTTTGGGTTTGGCCAGCAGCATGGCGACGTCGTTTCATCATTAGTCCGTTGGACCGTTGGACTGGGGATTCTCTTCTACATTGTGGACTGTTGATTGAGTTTATTGAACAAAACCCTATGAGGTGATGTTCGCCGCCCATTTGGGCCACGTTTTAACATATTTGAACTCAGCTAGCTTGGAATCCGGAGAAACTACCTAGGCCCCCGCTGGGGTGCACCTTTTGAACACAAGCTTAATTTAGTTAAAGCATGTGATCAAGCCGGTTCCTATGCTCTTGATGTACTCCCAGGTTCCTGTTCTCTCCATCATCATGTTTGATCTCCACAGGAGCTGCTGATTCAGAACGTGAACACCTTGTGGTTCGTGGGTTTCGCTGAAGCGTCTCCCGGATTTGATGCAGAAGACCTTCACTCCTCGTCTCCCCTTCCCCGTCTCATGCGTCGACATGGAACGGCGGGACCCGGGATGGGGCTCCGGGGATGACCCCAGATTCACAGTGGGTCGTAGCACCTGGAGGACCCTGGTTTTTGTTTCCACTGAAAGTGAACGTAATAATAAACGACCAAGCCAGGAGATCAACCTACCGAGCGCCCCCGCGGCGCTCCGGGTGTCGACTCAACATAAACCAGCGGTCGTTGGTTCATGTTGGTGGCTGGACTGGGCGGAAAGCCGCTCATCGGAGTTCCAGGTCTATGAGCTTCATACCTACGGCTTTGATCGGAGATAATACGTCAACAATAGTATCAACAATCCACAAATGACCAATGAATTTTGTTGGGTCCCGAAGGTGACCCGTTTGGGTGCCCTGAGTGTTTTTTCTGTAATTTTGTTGGCAATAGATAGCCGCACACATGGGCCTAAGGTGTATCTAAGCTGTTTCCTTCCTGAGTTCGCGCTTAGGCCCTCTGCCTGCTAGCGGCTGAGGTACCAGTCCTCGCTCTGTTTGCTCCACTGGCGGGTGAATCAAACGCTGCCCTCGTATTGCGACTGTATGGACAAGCAGAGCTGGCAGTCCTTCCAAGGACACACTGAGAACCAGACGCCTGGCCTTTCGCTCGCGCCATTGATAAAGGCCTAAAGTTCCTTTGTGACACGGTTTGTTTTACAGGACATAAGAAACACAACTCCGTTCTCAAGAAAATCCAATGCGCCTCAAAGATCAGTGGGTTGGTCAGTTGACAGTTGACGCATGTGACATGGTGTGACACATGTGTACAGTATCGCAGTTTGACCCGATCGATGGCTATGAAATGCCACACCTGTGAAGGCAACCTACGACTTATAGATCATGTTGTGCATAGGCTCGCGAATCCAGTGGCCAGTCCCTTACTATTGTTTGTGGTGATTGATACCATCACCCTGTTCTCCAGTCTATGGGTCATCCAATCATCCAATCCTCTACGTCTATACCTGGAGTGCCTCCTTCTCTCAGCTCTAAGGAACAGTACCTATCATGGGGAGGCCAAGCTCTCGCAGCTTTCCCGGAAAGTCTTGAAAGAGATTGATGCGTGCCTCGGTTCCTGGACGAGACCACCTGGTCCCCTTTAAACATGGTGGCACATGAGCTCGTTGAGCCTGAGTTCGGGGTACTGTAGTTTTTGGTTCATCAACTGGTTTCGTAGAATTTGGGAGGTTGTAGGTGGGGCTGGCGGTAAAAATCAATGCACGGGCGTTTCTGTTCTTGAACGAGGCGGATGATTGCTTAGCTTTGCTTGTTTTGTTGAATGTTGTCCTAAAATATTACATTGAAACCATACACAGCGAATGTCGGGATGGAATGGGGGACGGAGATGAGAACCGAGTGCCAACTTTATAGTACTTTAAGTAATCAGATACTCTGAGCTAATCACAGTCCCAGACACCCTTGTAAAGACCCAGCCCAATATTACTGTATAGACTTGACACTGAGTGAGAAAGACATGCTCCAAGTGCAGAAGACTAAAGTGGATGCAACACTTTCATGATGGCAAGGCGCTATGCAAGATGCAGGGAAACGCAGAATTGAGACAGAAAACAAAGGCACACACACAAGGAACACAACGAACAACAACTAGATAAATTGGACAAACGTATGCAAGATTGAGATAGGCGGGAATAACGGTAAGACACGAACCAGCCAAAAGGCACCAAAGAACAGGAAGTTGAGATCGTTAAAAAGAAACAAGAGAGATGAAGGAGCTTAAGGAAAACACAAACATTACACAGATTACATCGATGATGCCTTCTCCTCTTCTCAAAGCCCAGACATCCCATACCAATAGTATTGCAACACAACATTCTGGCTCCCCGCCCAGGCTCACTGCCACGGACCGTTTCCTGTATGACTTCGCCTGGCGGCGCTTTGTGCGGGACTGCGACATGGTCTTCCAACAGAGCGGGAAACAAATCCTGCGCCTCGGCGATTGAGAAAGGCCGTAGGGACTTGAGAAAGTCGTCGCTGCGTCAGATGACGCCTGTCGGGGGTTTTGCTTGATCTGCATGTTTTGAAGATCGTTTTTGCTGGTCTGACAAGGGAACAATGAAATAATCATGGACAGTTGCGTTTTGTCACCTCAACTCCCACCATGCCTTTCAGTCCCTACACAAACTCCAGAACCCAGCCCATACACACTGCCTGAAATCATCCATGGAAGTGGAGTGAAAGCCGTTTGTTTGGTCTTGCGATGTCATGGTCATCCTTTTTGAGCCATCCACGAAAAGAAAAACGAGAAGTGATTCTTTCAGGGAGTGTATCTTCCACCTTCTCCCTCTAAGACGCTACGAGGCCTCCAGAGAGGCCTCCAGCACTCCTCCGTCACTTCAGGGAGTGGTCGACTGCCCTGCGAACCCAGGTGCAACGTCACTGGTCCTCCCGCGCCGAGTCTTTAAGTGTGAGACGGATTGGCCGGCTGATGTGGGTCATGTCGCCCGTCGCGCATCCAATAGAAATGAAGAGAAGCGTTCAGGCAGCAGGATGCTGGATTTGGATGGATTCCGACCCATATCCATATCAAACTGCAGTTGTTCTGAGAGAGCTTGGAATCACTGTGCAGCGAGAAAAAAGGAGGTCGCTCTTTTCATGCGTTCAGAGACGTTCAAGGCAAATCTCAAATCAGCAGATCGCAGCAACGATGCTCCTTCAAAATCCGTTGAACCTGGTTTGTGAAAATACGTGGTCTTGGGTGTCTTGGGGTCGAAGCAGTGGTTTTCACATGGCCCAATCATACGATAGAAGCATGATGAAGCATGATCACATTATATCATGTTCTCCATCAATGTAGGCAATAAACAGTGGATCGATCCACATGGGTTGTATCAAGCCCAAACTTGTGGTGATCAATCCTTCAAAAATCTTCACAAGTAACTCTATTCATTTGCTTGTCCACAGGTCACATCCGTGGGTTTTTTGGGTTGAAAGTGCACTGCCAGGAAGCCCTCCGCTGCTTGTCGGATGCGCAGAACATCTACCGTGATCTTCAACTGTGGAGTTGTGAGGGCGCCCCAGTTTTGGGGGGCTCGGCCGGTGAAAAGAGTGCTTAGCAGGACTGGAAATCCTCTCCTGGCAGATGGTCACAGACGAGTTGTTTGTAAAGAAACAGACGGAGTCCCTCGTTGCGGACGCACCATCCGGATGGTCAGTGTGCTAAAGCCTAAAGCATCAGATCTGAATGATTGAAGCGCTACCCTATCGCACGTCATTCTTGCAACCTCAGCATATCGCAGCAGATTCTGCCTTTTTTGCAGTGGAGAGAGGGCTCAATATGCCAGACGCTCCAGAAGTATACCCTGGAAGACGATCCCATGGACCCTGAAAACCACTGGTTGGTCGAGGAAAACAATCTTCCAGGGGGGGCCAGACAGTCAGGGTCTATGTTTGTTTTTTTTCGGGAGTGTAGATGAACATCAACCATCTTTGGCACTCACCCCCTGTTTGCTCACTACGCCGTGGAGCGAGGTCACTACGCTGTGGAGCTTCATATGGCCAGACTCTACCTCGAGTCTGAACGACCTCACGAGGTGGGAAGGGAGAAGAAAACGATCCATTTCGGTGCACGGACCTGCTGTTTTCCTGTTGGATTTGCAGGTCGCATACTTACACCAAAGACCAAAAGACTTCCCAAAACTCCAAAACACTGGAGATGTCTTCCTGGAGCAGGACAACATCTCCTCTTTTTTTTGGGGGGGCTCCTGTCATCTCCTGTGTCTATGGTTGTTTTGCCTCCGACCCCTCTGGATCAAGTCGGACCTATCTCAGGCTGCCAGCATCGCGGAGGAGGTGGGGGAGCGAGCGACGACCGGAGACGAAACTCTTCTAGTTGACCTGGAAAAGACCAGAGAAGTTGGAAAATCCCATCATCTGACATATGTCCGCAACGTTGACATAATATTGTGAGTGCATGCGTACTAATTATAACATAATATAACGTTATCATAATGGTTTCTTCAATTGTATGGCTGGACCCCGCAAAAAATCACAGTCGACTCGCATTTTAATAAGGAGATCCCTCCTGGGGTACAACGGACGTCCTGACAAGGCCTTGGTCTTGATCCAGGATCTGGGCGTGGAAGCTCAGTCGGGATGTGCCAAGAGAGGTTCAGTCGCATTGTAGAACCCGTCACCTGGGGTACCTACAGGTAGGGGATAGTCTATAGGATCTATAGGGTTCTTCGACCTTTGTTGGTGTATACCGTTTTTTGGGCGGTCGGGACCAAGATCAGGACCGATCATTTGGGTTTATTGAGATTTGTCAGAGGTCAGAGGCAAGGGAAGTAGTATGATTGGTGTGTTTTGTCATCACAGGCACTGTAGTCTACTGTATTAGTTATGTGATGTTAATTTGCAAGATCCACCACGGTGGAGCTCTTGGCCTCATGGATATACTTCGCCAAGCTTAGCCTACCCAGGGGACCTCCACTCAGAGTACCTCGCCTACGGCCTCCTCTGCTGCGCGATCTTGGATGATGAGTCAACTGGTGATCGGCGCCTGCGAGCAGAGGGGCGTGCCAAGGAGGCGGTAGAGACTTGGACCGAACCGCGCGGTGCCGCGGCGGTCGCCGAGCCGTGCCGCGGTCATGGAGGAGCAACCACCGAGCGACCCTGTCAGATGTTCCCAGCAAGCTTCATGACTGTGGTATATAGTGTGTCGAAGGTGTCAGCATTGGTACTGTTGACAGAAGTCATCCTGCGGTTTGGTCCGGATATACACAATCCCAGCACAGCATCTTGGGGTGAGTGCCTTGTCTGAGGAACGCTTCAAGATACAAGGCAAAAGGCCGGGGCTTCCGAGAACAACGCGCAAAAGGGGTGACACTTTGCAGGTCAGGTACGTTCAGTTCCTGAGGAGGTGTCAAAGTGGAAACAGAGGAGGCTCAAACAATGTCGACCGAAAGAACCTCGCACATCCTTTGAGCCATCCGCATGTTGCAGTTTTCTAGGGATCTCAGAGTTCCAGCGGCTCTCCCCTTTCCCAGCCGTTTGAAACAACGCGCATGATCCATTGTTTGCATCGTCACGGGAGGCCTCATGCGCTGGCGCTGAGCTTGCTGGCAGGTGTGCTGGGTGAGACCAGTTCCACCTTAGAAGCCCGGACCAAGGTGGAGGAAGCACTGCGGCTAAGCCGAGACCTGGAAGATCCTTGGACATCCAGTTGGATGGGAAGGCAGAGTATCTTTAAGTGAAGTTCTTCAAACATGTTTAACTCTTTAGCGTATTGTTTATATTATATATAAATAATAGATTACAAATGATTATAGTAGTTATATCCCAGATTCTTCATAGTGATCCTTTGATAAAAGTTTGGTTTGAGGTCACTTTCGATATCAAGAGCCTAACTGACACGTGGAACCCTCATATCAAAGGGACACTTAGGAAAAGAGTGATTTCCCACATACTGCATAACCTAATTTGTTGATGGTTTATATAAGTGTCACACAGTCATAACCCTTCAATCACCTATCTATCCACACTCCCAATCCAACCATCCCCTAGTAGTATTAGCTTAGATATAGTTAGTATTAGTATAATATGAGTTGTAGTCTAATTTATCGTTAATGCCTTTTGTATGGAACGTTTCGTTGGTATTGGGTTTTTATAGCCCCACCCCAAAACGATAGGGGACGCCCGCCCTAAAAAAACGATACCTCAAAACGATACCCACCCCAAAGTGTCAAAAGCTGAAAAATGAGAGGGGACACCCTAATTTACTGAATACAGCCCAAACCAATAATTTAGACGCTGGCTCATATATGTTTTTTTCTTTTTGAAGCAATATCTATATACGTTATTCCCCAAACAGTTTACTGTTGGGGTCTATCTTTAAAAAAAAGAGCTGGCCACACTGACTGGCCGCGCACCTGAACTCTGTGGCCGGGTTTTGTCCTCCTCTTGTCCTTGTCTTGTCCTGCTGTTGTCCTCCTCTTGTCCTTCTCTTGTCCTCTGGCCGTGCTGACCAGCCCTGGACACACTGACTGGCCGCGCCCCTGAACTCTGTGGCTGGGCTCTGTGACCGGGTCTTGTCCTCCTCTTGTCTTCTCTTGTTCTGCTCTTCTCTTGTGGCCGAACAATTAGCGATGTCGATGCCGACAAAAATCAAGCAATTTGCTCTTGGGGGGCGTACCAAGAAATCGTTTTTGACTAATATTGGTCCCAACAAATCGTTTTTGAAACGGTGTGGGGTATATGCTGGTATAGTATTTTGTGGGGACCATTTTAGACGGGCCTAAAGAGTAACCGAACCCCAGAATGTGTTTTGGCTGGGTCCGGGGTTTGATGCGAAAGGCTGAATCTTGACTCATCAACTGACCCCCTCAAAAAATAGCGATCCAAAAAGGGGTATATTAATGATTCGATACTCTCAATTATTGGATCGGGTCCATCGTGTCAAAAACCGTTTTCTGGCCGAGATTTCTGGCTGGGCAGTCTGGGTTAACGAAAAGAACCATGAAATCCTGGCAGAAAAGCGGTGAGCGCCAACGGGACCGAACGGCGAATCCGTTTTAAGGACATGGACCTCGAGGCGCGTGGACAGGGCAGGGCGTTGGTTACGTTGCGCCCGTGCAGGAGCTGCTGTTGACACCTGGAGGTGGTTTATGAATTTTTCAAGATGTCTTGAAGATCTTGTACCAGAGTGAGAGGTTTTTTCAACACTCTGCTGAAAACAGGTGGGGGTGGGGGGAGGATTTCCACGACCTTCAACAGTAAGGATGCTATGCGAAAGGACATGATTGTCGAATGAAGAGGGAAACCGAAACCTTCCACTAACTGAGATTGGTTTGAGGGGTTGAACCAGGGTCGAAGATTTCCTCGCATTTAAGTATTTCCACGTTTTTCCTCTACGCCCTGGCAGCATGGCAGCGTTTCTTTTGGCAGCCCTTTTTTAGGCCCATCTACTCTTGAGACTCTCAAGTCTTCTGGCCAGCGAGAATGACGACGAGACCTTGAAGGCCAGTCCTCGACGCGACGAGCGAGCGTTGCATGGCGAAGCGCGGCTCGCAGCGCCGGAGAAGGATCGGTGTGTAGAGGTTCGGAGAAGGCAGGGCAGAAGCCAAGTGTCCTAGAGCATCCTATAGAGTTGATAAGAGTTGTAGTGGTTGGGTGGAAAGAAACTGAAGATTGTGACCTGTGTTGCTATGTGCTGCTGTTGAATTTGATGCCTAAAGCTGAACAGGAAGGTTGGACTAGACACCCTGACGGGAGTTTTGTAGGGTCCTAATAAATGGTTTCATAGTATGATAGACAGCTATATCATAGCTATATCATATCATATAGGTGAAACTGTTTTTGAACAGGTCCATGTTGATTCACGAGTATTATAAGTCTCGTCAATCTTCTCATTGTGAATTCTGCAGACACCAAAACCTAGATATCTTAGATGACTATCATGAGAATGGTTTCATTAAACAAACAGGTAAACTGCAAAACCCAGGAAGGAAGGACCTGACATTGTGGGACGATAGTGGTTCTGCTTGACCGTCATGACTTTGTCACAGCATACTCCCTTGCATGACTTCCCTTGTACTCAGTACTCTCCGAAAGCACAGGCAGACCAAATCTCACCTGTGACCGAATTCCACAACCTGATCCATTTAAGAACTCGAAGACTAGGGATCCACGGCCACCTTCTCAGAAGGTACTTGGACCCTCCACGCCAAAAACAAAAGGTGTGGAACAGATCACCCAACTTCAGAGGCTTTGCAGGTCTCCTTCGGTGCTCCGCTCCGTCCGTCCGCACGGAAGCGAGCTGAAGCTCGCTCGCTCGCGCCTTCCGTCCAAGGCCTTGGAGGGCGTCATCGCGCTGTGCCAGCGTTTGCCGGAAAAGGCGGAACTCATCGCCAGTGCTCGGTACCTCTCAGCCGCCTGGCGCTTTCCAACGCTTTTGCGGGGGGAGGGACGGACGACGGATGCGGGCGCCAGTGATTTTAGGTGACTTTTTGGGGGCTGGATGGGGTTTCTGGAAGCTAAAGGGCGGAATTGGGAGAGGGGGGGTGCTTTTTAGATGCTTTCGGTATTTTTTAGTAACACATACTAGGGCTTAGCAAGATGTTCACCACCAACCTTGGGACTCGTTGTCCTACTCATTGATTATCGTCATCCTGCAGATTGACTAGGCCGGTATTATGTTTTCCACAGAGATGCTTGGAAGACGATGTTCGTCATGCATCGTTTTGAAGGAGCTAAGTTGGTTCCACGCTGTGCCGAGCGGTGTGTTTTTACCCACCTGTCAGGTGAGGGTGGCTAGATTTTATGTCAGCTGCCTTCCTCCGCCTCCGCCTCGTCCGCCTCGACCGCCTCCTCCTCACCTCAACCGCAAGTGCAGGATGGCAGTGTTCCCCGCTGGACCTCAACCGCCAGCTCCCGATTGCAGTGGGCACTGCCAGACCTCAACACACAACCACACAACAGAACCACAAGCACACAATAAACAACCAACAAAGCACAACCACAATACACAATCACAAGCACACAACCACAAACAGACAATCACAAACACACAGCCACAAACACACAAACCACAAACACCATCACCACAGCCGCAAACACAATCACAGCCACAATCACACAGAAGCCACAAGCACAGCCACAAAAAAACAACCACAACACACAGCCACGCCGCACAACCACAACACACAACCACAGCACACAGCCACAACACACAACCACAACAGTCAAACACAGCCACAAAAACACAACCATCACAGTATAATTAGCTGTGTGTGTGGCATTTGCGTGGCAGGTGGTCACAGGGTAGCACTTTTGGATACCAACTGGGGACCCTGGCAACACCCCGGCGCGAACTCATTAACACTAAAGTAGCAATGCCAAGCCCGAGGACCCAAAAACTAAAGCAAAAACCACAAAGCTCACGACCGTGGCAACAAGCCTCCTACCTTGGCTTGAAATCAAACGATTGAAGTGCCATGGCGGGGGTCACTCGAAGTAAGTACAGTAACTAATAGCTTGATTCCGTTGGGTCCACGTACTCGATCTGAGACAGCCTACTCGAATCTTTGAAGTTTGCACTGGCTTTTGCTCCCATAGGGACAAATCGTCGTCGTCCTCAGCAACACCCTGCCCGGCAGAATGACTTCACCCTATGTTAAGATCATCATGAACCCACCATAGAGAAAACAGGACACAACATTTTGTTGGACTCCAATATTTATACACGTTTATAACGACGGCCCGGAACTTAGAAGGTAGCATTTTCGGCACTTCAAAACAGTAGATAAATTTAGAAGGGGGGGTCCTGCTGCGCACCTTCTAAGTTTACGGGCTGTTTTGAATTACCATGCATATACCGCTATATGGCACCTTCGCTATATGTATATACTACACATATATATATATATACACAAACCCTGTATCTGAAAAGCCTAGAAGAGATCTACCAGCGATGGCCTTCAACCTAGAAGCAATGGCCTCCAATCTACTAGCGGTGGCCTCCAACCTAGAAGAGATGGCCTTCAATCTACTAGCGATGGCCTTCAACCTAGAAGCAATGGCCTCCAACCTAGAAGAGATGGCCTCCAATCTAGAAGGAATGGCCTCCAACCTAGAAGAGATGGCCTGCAATCTACTAGCGATGGCCTCCAACCTAAAAGGAATGGCCTAAAGGAAGGCCGCGCCGCCGCCTCTTTTTCCCCTGTCTGTCCCTGTCTGTCTTTCGATGGATTTTCTTCATGCAATCGAATTCCAGAGAAAAAACATCAAATCTATCGTGCAGAGTTCTGCATTTGTGCAGTGACTGTACTTATGGGAATGCCATGGAGTCTTCCAAGTGGTTTGTCAAAACCTGCAGTGACAAAGGTCTAATAGGCATTCTAAGTTCTGAAGTTTCCCAACAGATATTGTATGTATTGTGTGCATGCCCTGAAAATATAAAGATCGTGTTTTGACAAACGTCTTGGACTTGCAAACTCAGAAACAAGCAGATGGACGGTAGCCCACAAGCGTCCTTCATCATCTGCTGTGTATTGTCCCCGCTCCATCAAGAGCACGCTACACATGAAGTAAGCCTTCTCCATTTGCGCCAAGATATGAATGTGTGTGATTGTGTGTATATATATATATATGTTAGAACCTTCTGTCAAACACATTCTAAGTTAGAGAATGGATGAGGCAGAAACATCGAAACAAATAGCTGATAATAGATGTTTAAAATAAAAAAAAGCAGTCACAGAAACCAACTCTGCTGGACAAAAGAGTGATTTCCATGAATTTCCTGCACGTTCCTTTCATTTACCCTTCATTTCCTTGAATGTGCGTTTCTTTTCTTCAATTTTCTTTAAAACCGCGATAATAATTATATATATATACATATATATATATAAGAGTGATAGAAGAGTGATATATATATATGTGAAAAAAGAGTCATTCAAGAGTGGAAAAATAGTGCTTTAAGAGTGAAAGAAATGATTCTTGAATTTATTTGAGTTTCTTTTCATTTCACTCCATGTTGTTTTCATGTTCCTTTCGGTTTTCCTTTCTTTGCTCTTCAAAACATCGACCAAAGTCAAGGGAAATGAAAGGAACCAGCTCAAAACATAGTTATTTCAAGTAGCCACTGACTGGTGATTCTAAGTTTGCCTACTGTTTTTGAAAACACGCAAGTTTTGCCCAGAGGCATTCCAAAATCCAAAGCCCCAGTCGCACTTGTTTGCAAATGATGGTTGTGTTGCACTGCTTCTAAGTTGTTTGGGCCGCTGAACAAATTGTGTGTGTGTGTGTGTTTTTTTTTTTAAACTTTTTTTCAAAACACCCCTAGAACTTAGAATGCGCCACTTTTGGGGCATGCTAAGTTTATTTTCCTGCACAGGAGCGGTGTTTTATAGCCAAAATCTATCAAAAATGATTTTTAGGAGTTTTTCTTGAAACGGAATGGCACAAAAGTCATTCTTAGTTTCGGGCCGTCGTTATATACACGTTATACACACGATTACACTCACTAACATATTGATCCAAAACGACGCCCCAATGGCCAAAAAAAGCAAACATGTGTTTCCTTTTCCCGTGTTGTCGAAATGGGCGGCGGGGCCCTGCCGTTGACGCACACGAAAAACGTCCTCAGGTCTCGCTGCTCCTGCGGATGTTTGATCCCATGGACCGAGTGTACCGAACTTGTGACCCGATGACCCAGTGCTCGACCGTTTAGTTGGTGTTTTTCCGTTTTTTTTCCTGGGAAACCACCTGGGGTACCAAGAGCATGCACTTCAAGATTGGACATAACATGACATAACAGCGGCTTTTGTCTCAGTGTTGGCCTGGTGTAGGGCATGCCAAAAACATCTCCCCTCACTCTCCGTCACATGGCCAGGACAGCTTAAGAGAGGCCTCCCAAGCACGTGCCTTCTTCGCAGAGGAGCACAACTCTGACCGAGGGGTTTTATACATGCAGAATCATGCAGATGCAAATCATATCAAATCATGGGCATCCTGGGTACGGAGAACTCTGACCCTTGAGGAAATATCCACCACTTTGCTTGTCTTGAAACACCGGCGGCACAAGGCGAACACTTCTTTGGGTTCATGGGAAACCCATGAACTGAAATTGATACCACCCCGAACAGAGAGGGCGGCACAGACCGGAGTCGGCGGCTTGGTGCTGTACCACCGTACCGCCGCACCTCCATCTGTCGTTGTTCACCCGGCGGAGGAGAAGGACCTGTATCGGGAGGCCTTGACGTTGGTGGCCATTGCCTCGGTGTGCTTCAGCCGCAAAGATCTCTCGGAAGCCAAGGTGCGGGAGCATTATGCGAAGGGCAAGACACGGGATGGGAGATGGGGATGGGAGATGGCTGTGGCTCATGGCACCCTGAGTCCCTTTCACGAGGGTAGGTAGTCTATTCTGTTCATGCTCAGTTGTTGGTTCCAAGATTGGAGGCAGTCTTAGAACAGTATAGATAGTTCAGAAACTATATATATATATATAGAAACCCTACAGAAAGTATGTTCAGGTGGAACTCCTAGAAGGTGTCCAATTTTCCGCACATTCCACGGCCAGAAGCGTCCGCCCTTGGCGCGCGCGCGTGCGGGTGTGCGCCCTTGAGGAGTCGTTGGCTCTAGCTCGAGAGCTCTTTCGAGATGCCTCTGACCCTCGAGGTGTCTCGCTAAAGAAGTGAAATAGGGAGGAGGGGGGGAGAGAAACTAAGTGACTGGTAGTTTGTCGAGAGGATCGAAAGACACATGCCTACTCTGGGGTTTTACTGATGCTGAAGGCCTAATCGGATGTGAGGAAGAATGCATGCTGTACTCTTTAAATCTCTTTCATTAAACGGAAGTGCTTTGGCTGGCAAACCAGTGGCAAATCACGACCCGCATCCCACTAAGCAAGGGACCGAGCAAGGCTTGTAGCCAGAATCAACCCATCCCTAGGGCTCCAACCACTGAGAAGGCAGTTCGACCCCCCTCACACCCACCCCAACCACCGAACCTGAGGATGTGGTTGGAGCTCCAGGGCATCTCAACCCCGTCCGGTCCAGCCCCTTTGAGCAATGAGGTGAAGTCTTGGCCTTGAGCACCTTGGCCGAGATGCACCAAGCGGAGAACGAGATCCCTGAGGCCTCGGCCTCGGCCTGAAGTGTCAAGTCGGTGACCGGAGGAGCGCTCGGTTGGAACCACCAATGCCTTGCCAGAACCTCAATGTGTAACCTGCTGCAAGAAGGGGTACACCCCAGGCAAGGTGGGTAAACCCCAGAACCAAATGACTCCAGTATTCCAAGTCCACATGTGTCCCTGTGTCCCTGGGGATTTGAAGGTCGAACCATCGAACATCGGACATCGGGTCGGCGACTTCGAGTGAGAGCCTGCTCCACCCTGGAGCAGCACGGCAATCGGTCCAGCACCACCCTGGACCAGCACCACGGAAGGGGTGGGGTGGTTCTTGGATGGAACTGGAACCATACATAGATAGTTTGGGGTGCCTTTCCGTGGTCCTAAAACAAGGCTTTAGTTGCATGTGGAGAAACGACGCGTCTTTGGAGCCATCTACATTCGATGTTGGATATGTGACATGGTACGAAGGATCGTTAAGCTTCCCTGACCTAGCCTTCAGGCGGTTCCGAGGGAAATACGCGTGGGAGCGAGCCGAACATCCACCATCCCAAGTCCAGTACCCACAGCTTGTCGCTGCACTCGAGAGGAAGGAACGCCCACGGGTGAGACTCCGAGACTTGGAGACTCCAAAGAGGTCAAGAACGGCTCAGGTCCTGTTGCTATAAACCACCTCTTGGGTCCAGTTCTAATAGCTATTATACATTATTACATTGTTATACCATATTACACCTGGATCTTGCTGTTGTTTGTTTGTTCCAAGGTTGTTCCCTGAAGTTGTTCTTCGTTCTTCTCTTTTTTCACCGAAATCATGAGGCCCTTGAGGTGCTTCAACGAGCACGGGCGGTGGCTCAGGAGACGGGAAGACGAAAACACGGCCCCGGAAGACGGCCAGCGGAAGACGGGACGGTGTTCCAAGCTCACATAGCAAACGCGAGAAATAGCAACACATAATCTCATAGATAAATCTTACATCATTCAACACACACACACCAAGAAATCCAAACACATGTACATAAAACATAGCACAATGACGTCAGGTCTTTTGGGGAGCATGGTCGCTGGGGGATTGTGCTGGTTTGGATCAACGAGCTTGTCCAGCTCCGAGCTGGGTGGTGATATGTGGTGATACTTAGAGTTCCATATATGTGATGTGTCCGACTCGGAAGGTAGTTATAGTTGTTGACTTCCCTGACTTGCTCATATCTGTTTACCAGAAGCTCAGGAGATTTTGATCCTCCTTTGTACTGCCATAAATAGAATCCTCACTCAGAAATCGAAATAACAATAATTCCCACTCAGAAACAATTTCCAGCCAGTGTGAGGGCCTCCGCTTGCAGTTCACAGGGGGATGATTTTGCAGGGTTGGGTTCACACTGCTCTTGTTCTCCATCTTTGGACCCCGGGGCGCGTTAAACGGACCGCAGAAAACAGAAAGACCTTCGAACATGGGGAAGATCCGCCGACATGGGCGCCGAGATGTGCGCGCTGGGCGCTGGGGGGGGGGGCGGGAGCGCAAGCTTTCCGGTCTCCACATCGCGTCAGCCCGGGGGTTGAAGCATTGGCCGCATCGCTGACACTGTGCTCGCTTCAGAACGCAGGAAAGGCCTTCAAGTTCTGGGCACCAAGTCTTTGGGATGTGTGACTTCAGTTTTGGCTACGAGGTATACCCACTCTCAATCATGATAATTTTTGCGAAGGGGCCAGAGGAAGAACATCGTCAGTTGAGAACATGCCCTCCTACCCAAACAGCAGCTAACCTTCTTGCTTTTCTATGGATTGGTTGCCCCGATTTGGGGTGCCCTCACAATAGAGAGGAACAGTTTGGGAAAAACCCATGACAAGTGGTTAGATAATGTTAGATACTCTATTCGGAGCAAACCGTTCTGGTTGGTGGACCAACACCCAATCAACCCCCTCGCCACACCGAAAGAAGCTTGTTTTGAGTTCTCCCAAACTTTTTTTTTTCGTGAATTCTCATGGTATGTATTGACACGGAGACTTGACAATAGATCACAATATTAATGTTGTTTGATGTTGTTTGTGTATGGACAGTAGATCGCATCCCTGTGAAGCATTCTGCTTCAAGGAGGCGGGCTGGAAGGAGGAGGAGGTCCGACTCCTGGTCGAGACGCTGGGACGGAAATCAGGAAGTTCCGGGACCTGCGAATCAGCCGGAGGTTCCGGCTTTGGGTGGCGTGATGTTGCACGCTGTCACCCGCAGTATTTAAAGCTCCCCAGCTGACGACAGCTCACCCGATGTTTTAGGGCGCCCTCGCCCCGAAGCCACTGGCGAAGCCACTGAATTCGAGGATCGCCAACCTGCAGCGTGCGGAGAACGTCAAGCTCTCGGCACGCACGGCGCGGGAGGGCCTGCGGATCGCCAAGCATGCGAAGATGCTGGAGGGGCAGGCACGATGCGGGAGTTGTAAAAGGTTGTGAATGGACAATTCAAAGAACAACAAGTGAGGATAGTGTGGGATGAAGTAAACATAACAATACCACAAGTATCCAAAAGTGCTGAATCATTTTGAATATGCTCCAGGCAGGGGTACTATTTCATGGATATAAAGATTGTTGGCATCCATGATTTGAGCCTCAAAGAAATCAGAGGACAAACACTCAGATAACATTGGAACATGTGTGTAATGTATCGGGTCTCAAGATGTTTAAAGACGTTTCATTGTCCGAGGTCCGAGGATGCCCCTTTACTCGTGGGTGGTTCTGTCACCTAAACCATCAACATCATCCAAGACCTAGATGTTGCGGAACGGTTCCGGCGCCAGGATTGGGATTGGTTTTCCAACTCAAGCTTCTATCTAGATGGGGTTTTGTCACTATACGTATATATGAAGTACAATGGAATGAGGAACCCCATGTTTCTTGAGGCATCTTCGAGGTTGGAGGTGATTGTTTCACTTTCATGAAGGAGAGAAGGAGTGTACATACTGTAGGTGTTTCTGAGTGCATCTGGGGGAGGGCTGAAAAGCCGTCCTGTCTGATCATGTTTGACATCTCTGGGGTTCACGAGCAACAAGGGTTCCCCTTTGCAGCTGTGGCTGTCGTTGCTGAAGCTGGTGCAACAGTCCGTTGCGTTGTCCTTGTGACTTGTGCCACAGCAGTTGTGCTGAAGATTTGCTCCAAGCCCTGGTTCTGCTCCAAGTCTTCAACATCAAGCGATCGCAGGTGCTGGTTGATCCAAAGAAATCCAGAAGATTCAATCTCGATAACATGGAACGCACTTGAGAACAACATGAGAACGGTATAGGCCCCGGCAGCTCCGTGACAAGCTTATTGGGCAGGTGCAACTGTTGATGCAATGTGTCCAGTGACTGAGTCCTGGTTTCGGGCGATTTCGGGCGGATGGAAACGATTATTTCGGCCCCAAGTTTTTCCTGAGAAGACTTTGGTTGGAAAAAAATATCTGGCGGAACCGACAGACCATGCCTTTCGGTTCTTCTTCGCAACGGTTTCTTTGTGTGCCCCCGTTCGCGGAACCTGGCGCATCAGGTTCACCTACCCAGGAAGTACGTGGATCACCTGATCACCTGCAAAACCTGGATACCCCAAGTGAAATCCAACAGGTGGACACATGTGGACACTTTTCTGGTAAACCGAGGTGGGTTAGTTATATCAGTTGTGAGGTCCAAAGCCGGAAGAGGTCGTCTTCGACCATCCAGGTGCCATCCAGGGTTGTGGTGTTGTGGCTGGAGTACCCTACTCGACCATCCGGGATCCCCAGAGGACGGACAGTCGGATGCTCCAGGTACATATAGATGTGTATATATATGTCGTGCAGAAATACATCTCCAACCGGGTTCACTTGAGACACTGAATGATATTTTTCAATCAATGCCTTTCTTCACTTGCGTTCTTTTGTCCATTGTCTGTAGAGCTTTTGTCTACATTCATTGACATCTTTACATGAAGTCCGCAGCACAAAACCCCATAGAAAGACGAGCCATACATGAGCGCCAGCAGACGGGTGTCATGGCGTCACGACAGTGACGCTCAAAATGTTGACCTTCCGAAAGTGAAATGGAAGGGTGAACAATTCCGACATATTCCGACTATAATAACATACTAAAAAGATAAACATGATTTGCAAAACCACACGAGTTCGTGGAACATCGTGAAAGCATCTTCCTGACAACAAAATACATATAAAATCCTATAGGTATGTAATTGTAAGCGCAGTATTGAACTGCTTTACTTTGAGTGATCCCCACCATGGGATTGTATTCTGCCGATAACCGACGGCCTGTCCGACGGCTATATTGCTTCAACACCACCAAGAAAGTGCCTATATATATGTATATATTTGCATTATTTTTTTTGGCATAAATTCTGGCTTTCTTTCTGGCATGACCTGAACAAAGGCATTCTATTCGGCATAAACTCTGGCATTCTATTTGGAATACATTCTGGGGCAGTCTATCTTGCATACATAGTAACACTCTATGTGGCATATATTAAGGTATATATTAAGGTATTGTATTTTGCATATATTCTGCCCTCACATCGCAGGTGGGGCAAAGCCAGGCGGATCTTTTAAGACATATCTTAGATTAGTGTGCGCAACACGACACCAGTGCTTAAGCATCTTCCCCCCCGACCCCTCCTTGAGATACACCGCGCGATCTGTCGCGACGATCCCTCGCTTTGTTCTAAGTCTAATGAAAAACAACCAAAGCAAGCGTCATGAGGGTGTGTCCGTGCCGCACCCATATTTCCTGAAAATAGCATCGCAACACATTGCAAACCACATGATTTTATGAGATGATGCATACCGTGAGAACTTGTCTTATTTCAAAAAAACGGCCCGAAATTATAATATGGTATATCATTGCTTTCATAAATGCGACGTGAGTTCCAAGGAACCACATTTGCACATGGTGAACATGGAGGTGTCCGACACACCCCGGGTCCGGGGGCACCTCGACGGTCCCGACCTGGTATTTCTGATGGTTTAGGACAGGTCACCTCATGTCACCTCAGTGTGGTCACAGGGGAAACCTGGACAGATCACCTCATTTGTTGTTCTTCATTGTCTTTAGCGGGGGGACCTTCAAAGATTGCCTCAGTGGTTGATATAGTGGTAGACAAGGACTTTTGAACATCATGAATCTCGCCGTTTGGAAAACATGTGCGAGAACATGTCATTTTTTAATATTTTTTTAGGGGATTGTTTTTTGGTTGTTGTTCTTCAACACCCAACGACTGCTCCTGGCCGAGGTGCAACCTGATCCTGGCCTCGAGCAGCTGCTCCCGGAATTTGTGGGAAGAGACGCGACGCTTGGCGGACGATGCGGTGATGCTCACCAGCGGTATCAGCGCGGGATGGCGAAGGTGGGATGCTTTTCGTGTGTGTCTTTGTGAGCTGGGTGATGAGGATTGTCATTATATATATGTACTTGAGAAACAAGCAGCACCCTCCAACAGGTCTCCTCCAGTGGTTTTTGGAGTCTGCGGAGACCTAGACGTTTAGCTGTGTGGAGAGCCGTTTCTTTCTTTTTTGTTGGACGTTGCCAGGCAGTTAGGCCATTTTATGTCACAAT